TATATATATATATATATATATATTATTATATATATATATATATATATATATATATATATATATATATATATATATATATATATATATATATATATATATATATATATATATATATATGTATATATATAAATATATGTATTATCATCGTTGATTACGTGGACCACTAAACAAAAGTATGGCCCGTGTATGTACTCTAGTACGTACTTTCCACTACACAAGTTCTTTTACAACCAATCTGTAGAGCTGTTTGCTCTCAGTAGAGTGCGGTTATAACGCAACCTATTCTCTCTGAAGATCATACAACGCCATAGCTGCTGTGTCCCTTTCAGTGGCTGCGGCCGTCATGCGCCGTGTGTTAACCTCGTCAGCCCAACCGACACTCCGCATATGACCAACAGAATGTTGTACCGGATATCTGACATATGAAAGTACATCTATTGAATGAAACCCTAAAACCCTACACCCGAAGATACAAAATGCTGGACCCTGAATTCTTCCTTTCTTCTATCTTCAGCTAAACCCTAAAACCCTAATAATATTGAATTGCTGAACATTCGCCCTAGAGATATACTGTTTATATATACGGCAGATAGGAACACACAACACCAAATGTCTGACGTATCTAGTACCCGGCAAATTGACTAAACCCTAACCCCTCGCTCTCTCTCTACAGACGTGCTCAGCGTCAACTCTCACCGACAACCTAAGCACAACTCAGTCGTCGCGCGCCCTACGCGACAGCACAGCCAAACGACGACAGCCCAACACCAACTCATACAACACCATGGGCCACCACAGCAGCAACAGTCTGTCCGTGCCTATTAATAGCAGCCAATCACATTTCAATGCCGGCATCGGTGTCAGCAACAGTACGCAGACGAGTAGTGCGAGTGGTCTTGCGGAGAGTGTGCCGCTGTACGATGACCCCGTGTCAGCCATGCACACAATAGATGGCCAGGGCTGGAATGCCGCCCTCAAGGTGTGTGTGCTTGCTTATGTGTCGGTAGATATGTGTGTGTATATTTATGTGTGCGTGTGTGTTTGTGTGTGTGTATGTTAATGGGTGTGTGTGTGCACTTGTGTAAGTTTATATGTACATGCTGGCTTGTGTGCGGGCGAGTTAAGGTGTATGCGGGGATGTGTTGTAGTTGTGTGTGGTCATGGTTGGCCGTGTGTACAGGTGTTATGTGGGCATTGCTTAAATACGTATGCGTAAGTGTGTCTGTGTACACGAGTGTCATCGGTACGGTACGTACACAGCCATAGGTGAGTGTGTTATGCCGTCATATGTGGCTTCTAGTTGGGACCGGCCCTAGGCTCTTGTGCGTGTGTGCAATATCAAGCAGGCTATGTACACCGCTGATATACATGTGTCTCTGCTATGTCCCATGTGACTGTCCTTTCTTCAACATTTGGGACTGTCCTTTCTTCAACATTTGGGACTATCCTCACTTCAACAAAGGGGACTGTCCTCCTCCGAAGCTATCAACACGTGGCCCCTATGCACTCACACATTGTATGGTCTGCCCTGTGTAGGTTGAGTCTGAGTATACTGAGATACTGCCTGCTTGGCGTACCTCCTCCTCTGAGTTCCGTCGGGGGCAATCGTACAATGACGCAAACGCACCCTCATGGGATGCCATGACCCTTACCAGGTATGTTGTATATATACATGTATCACATACAATATATACATATACATATACATATACATATACATAT